TCTAAGTTTAGATCTTTCAAGAGAGAAGAGAAATTTCTGTAAGGGTTTTCTCCTAAGCCCGTCAAAAGGAGTAAAACTGTAAAAGGGTGGTTGGCCTTCGCCTATTGAAGGAAGGCCTCTAGTGGACGTCGGTGACTTCGTTGGTGGAGGAAGCCAAAAGTGGATGTAGGTCAAGATTGATCGAACCACTCTAAATCTCGGTTTGCATTTACTTTAAGCATCTTATCTTTACTGCAAACCTCCTCAGTAGCTTACTGCCTTCTGCTCATTTACGAACGTGATTCATAGTTAAGTATTTTTCGAATCGACGTTAAGATGGAAATCGGTTTTATCGTACGAACATCATATTTCAATTTGCGCTTACATTCTGATTTCTATCATAACTGCAAACTGCCTTTATATCTTTGCTTTAACTGTATCTCGCTTGATCACAAGTTAAAGTGATTTACGAATCAACTTTCATACTGAAATCGCTTTTCATACTGAAATCGCTTTTATCGTACGAACGTCGTATTCCAGTTTGCTATTACATTCTGTTATCTATCTTAACTGCAAACTGCCTCTATATATTTGCTTTAACTAAATCTCGTTTAATCACAAGTTAAAATATTTTACGAATCGGCTTTCTTACCAAAATCGCTTTTATCGTACGAACACAATTTTAATCGTCGAAAGTTTTCTGCTGTACTAATTCACCCCCCCCCCTTAGTGCTCTTGATCCTAACATTACCTTTAGTCATTGATCGAACACAAAATTATTGATCGAACAATAGATCATTATCACAAAGCAATCAGCATATACTCCTCCCTCTGATGATGGTCACAAAGCAAAAGAATTCTATTTGAAACGAAGGAAAGCCTCCTATGCTTCTATATAGGAAGAGAAATTTGTTTGAAATGATGGTCAGAACTTGGTGAGACTAATTCCTTAGTAAAAAGTAATTGGATGAAGGCTTGGTTCAAATGAAGCCTCGAGAATTGTGGCAGGAGATTTGTGACAGACTTGTGACAGGAGACTAGTGACTTGGTTCAAATAAAAGTTTGGTTTATCTATTAGTTCCTTAATCAAAAGTAATTGGATGTTCGCCCTTGGATCTAACGAAGACAGGAGATTTGTGACAGCCTCCTACACTCCTAATCTTTCTCTTGAAAGCTGAAAGAGAAATGCCGTTGCTCTCGTGTAAGCCTAGAAGAAATTCAAGTCAATCAGGTTGAAGCTAAATGGAAGAAGCCTAAATAATGTGAGGAAACCTTCATTTTTGTACCTAAATCAATAGGTATGAAGCCTAGCCAATATCCCTTATGAGAAGATCGTACATTGAAGAACCATGCCTATGGTTGAAGAAGAGGTGAATAAGGTTGACTCAGACAAATAGGGATTGCACAATTATCTTTCTAATATCATGCCCTTAATAGAAAAGGCAAAGGAGGATTGATGGCACGTGTCCTTGTCTTTTCCTTTTCTCTCCTACCAACTGAGATCAATAAAGAAAGCAATCAATCCGGTTCATATGCCTCATCATTATTCATGCTACTATTTTTTTTTTTTTCTTAATAGCATGAGACACTAAGACTTTTCAACTTATTCTAGAGTTATTATATTTTTCTAATATAGAATCATCTCCACAAAATTGTCATAGGAGTTAGCGAGAGACATAAGAAGTAATAATGTCTTTTTTTTTATTAATCTTCATATCAATTTTTCTCTATTGATCCAGTATTCCTTTGAATATATTTAAATTCTCTACCAAATCTTTTCCTTACTGCATTCTCAGCATTGAATACAACTTGTTAGTTAGTCAAACCTTTAGCTAAATAATTTTTTTTTTTAACTTATCACAAATAACTTGTGGTGGAGTCATCATTAATAATATTATCAACGATGCAATTTACTAATAGTACACATACTTAGCTTTTGGCTCCTCTCAATCTTTGTTCATCTTTTTTTATTTATTTGCTCATCCTTTCAGCATTTTTATACCAGAAGTCCTTCACCATCCTTTTCGATAGAAGGGTGAAACTATATTTTTCATCATATTTCACCATAATAAAGATAGTAGAAACAATAAATAATATCCTTATTGTATATCTAATCATAAGATCTTTTGCCTTTTATACAACTTTGTTGGGCAGAGTGAACTTAAAACCAAAAAAGAAATCTCAATTATCAATAACCAAATAACATATCATAAAACCAATACAAAATTAACATGGTTTAGTATTCTGTCTATATCCATTGACAAAATCAAATTCTTCACTATATAAGAAAAACCAATAGAAAGAATCTCTCTCTTAGGTTAACCTAAACCCTAGCCAAAACCTTTTTTTTGTACCCATCGCACATAGTCCAAAGAAGAACTATACTCTCAACTCTCTCTAGGTTCACTAGAGAATTTTTGAAGCACTAGAAGTGTTTTTCTCAATGTTTCCGGTTCTCATCAAAACCTTGAGACTCATGGTATATTTACATGAACAAATCTTAATTGAGGATTTTTCTTTCAACTTTGATCCCTAATTCAAATTCTAATCGAATCCACCAAAGAGTTTTGACCTAATTAGGACTCATTTAAATAGGTTGAATTTAGTTAGACCTCTTAAATACTTACTAACCCTAACATATATTCTATATAATGAACAGAGGTGGTTTTGACTTGTGTGTAAATTTTATAGCACCTCCCATGTCCTCTCATCTTGCCAAGTCCAATTATCACAACTACAACTAGACAACTAGGTTTTTAAATGACATATTCCTAATGAACCCACGTTAGTATAAAGTCATAAAGCCTCAACCTTTAATATATAAAAAAGAAAGTAGTACTCTTTTTTACACTAATTTTAATAATAATCGAGTGTGCTTTAGTAGCATCAACATCACATATTAAAGGAAAATTATCTTGTAGTGCTTATTTTGTCATAGTCAGTTTTAGAAGGACAAATAGAAGAGTGACGAGGACAAAAAAAACGAGAGAAAAAAAAAAAGCCAAGTAGAAAGAGAACGATAACTAAAGAATGAAAAAAATATATAATACCAAAAAAAAAATCTAATTTTAAAGTATGTTTATTAAACTTGCATTCATTGATGACCTAGGAGACTAGGATTTGAGGGTTGGCCTTGGTACAATAGGGCTGCTCTTTGTAAACTTGGAGACTAGGGTTCTAATTACATAAATACTCTCTCTATATTTAGAGATAATGTTTTGCCTATTGACCATATTCCCAAACTCCACATTGATAAGAGTCGTATGCAATGAGTGAGTCATTTTATGTTTAAACCCAATTTTCTATCCCAAATTATATATTATTTACAACCTGTAACATCTTTGATACTCAAATAATGCTTTAAAACATACCTTTTATGCTTTCTATAATTGTTGCTTTTTGAGGTTGATAAGTATTTTTGGATTCCTAAGTCAAATATCCTATGAGGACAAAGAATCCTAACGAGCAAAGAACCTTGTGAAAAAACAATCTTAGAAATTAGGGTTTCATTGTTCTATATATCTTTAGATATTGGTGGAGAGCAAGATATGCAGAAATGTTTAGAGTGCTCTTAGGTTTCTGTCTAGAGCATCTAATAGGGTAAAAAACGAAATGTGAAAAAATGTTTATGATCAATATGAGAGGATATATAAAAGGATTATTATAAGAGAATGTATAAGAAGTGTGAAAAAAAATTTCATGCATTGATTTTCTGGTATATTTTTTATTTGTAATTATTGAGTTTTTCTTTTAATTATGAAATCTTCTCTCCCCAACCCAACTGTTCAATGATTTCAAAGTATGAAATTCAACTAGGTAGCATTCTAATTATTGGCTCGCTCTCTCTCACGCACACATTTATGATTTCAAGCTTCGACAATTTATTCCCCAATCTTGTTATCTCATATTGGTATACAAAAAAACTCAGCGGTTAAACAATGCCTTGTTCCATTAAACTACTAACGACAGGAAAATTAGAATCTTAGTTTCTTGTTATAACTATTCAAGTGACTGAAAAAAGTATTATGGCTATCTTGTAAATCAACTTTAAATTATTTTTTTCAACTTGATTTCCTTGAAGGTTCTGCTAACACTAAATGCATCGATGATAAACAATTTACTGCTAGTTTTTGTTTTTGTTTTTTTTCTTCTAAGGCGATCAAGATTACAAGAGATCGCAAACAAAAACCAACATGTAACATCATCAATAATTGTTTTCCTTCAAGCTATGTTGGAAAGGAAGTATAAAGCTATTCGAATCATCACAAACCAAGTGTATCTTTGGTTTCCCTGTCGAACGCTCTCCTTAGCAACATGGGCTTGATGGTTATTAAAAGGTTTAGCATCTTATTGGATCGAAACAAAATTAAGCAAAGACAAGACCAAAAAGATAATATTAAAAATTCTAAATGCTGCGGTGCAAATTTTAACGCATGCATCGATCCAACATATGATGGGTACAAGTTGATGCTTGTATTTCAATAAGACTAGTTGCAACGTACGAGCAAATGCTCGAGTCTAACGCGTGTTATATCGAGTTGAGCAACGTGTTACTCTTAAGGAATTAAGTTATTAAATCATCATTACATCGCATGTATCATTTTACATTGACTGGAGAAACACTGTTTAACCATACCAAAGCAGAGGTGAGATGAACCAGACTAAAATGTCCGGGTTGTAACCTAATTCAATTAACTTGCCAAACTCCACATCCTTTTGACAAAGCTTATCACTCGGTCTTGGCTCAGTCGAATGGCAGCTCAGTTTCACAACACCTAGAAGCAGAGAAAGAACAAAAAAAATACTTATATCATATTATACTCGGGATTTTCACCAATTGACAGCCAGTGTACTAGAATCATATATCCTGTGGAATCGTTTTAAGTTCCAACCTAGAATCATATTCACCTTCAAATTAAGCTATAAAGTCCATCAGCTATACTATTCAGGCAAGATAAATACAAACAAGCTAAATGCAGTAGCTATAAGCCTTCATCTTCAAGAGTTAGCACTAGGGATCATAGAATTATAGAACATACACATTTTTACCAATTTAAATGATCAAGATTAGAGTTCTGAACTGGAGATATTGCCAGAGATCTTGTGTGCATGATGAGCATTTAGCAAAACAAATTTGTTTAATGCCCCAAATGGTTTGAAAAAGAGGGGGATGATTCACAATAGATCGTGCACAGTAGAACTGATTATGATGGGTAGTAACTCTGGTTGGGGACACTGGTTGGGGGGTTGCTTATGCTGGAGTTTGCATAGTATGCTTCACGTTCTAAAACAGTATCGGCAAACTGATACAAATTTGTACTTGAGCTCCCGGTTCCATATCCATCACCCGAAGCTTGTGAGTAGTATACATTTTGTCCTGCCATTGACGATGGACCCATCCAGGCTTCGGAATGTGTCGATGCTAAAAAATGTTGTCCCACTAATCTCTCATCAAGTGCTCCATTCCCATGCAGTTTATATAAATCTCCATCATAGTTAGTAAATGGATGAGAACTGTTCTCCACTGTTGACCCAGCAGGACCTTCTGCTGTTGCTGCGACAAGTTCACTGCTAACTCCTGCTGAAGTATGGACACCCGCTGTCAGTGAGCTAACCCCACATAATCCATTATGTAGACCAAATCCATCATCATGAGCATTCCTCCGGTATAAGCTCCCATAGTAGCCCTCGGGATTAGCAAGCGAAGCACTTTGTTGCTCCTGATATTGCTTACCAAAATGAGGCATGATACTATGTGATGGTTTGGCTGAAGAACACCAATAATTTTTTAGTTGAATTTGACCCAAATCCTGAGCCTTTCTTTTCAAGTTCTTATTTTTCAATCTCTCCTCGTCCTTGGCAATTACCCTTTCTATCTTGGCAATCTTCTGATTGATATTGAAGCTAGCAAGTTCAGATGGATCAAGTTTGTAGTTCTCCAGACATTTTGCTACCAATTTAAGCCTCTCCAAGAGCTTCTCATTGGCTTCTCGCTGCAAAATACAATTGGTAATTCATGCAATCTAAAAGCTTGCCATATGCAGCATAAAATAGAGCTCTAAATATAGACACCAAAATAGTGACTAATTAACAAAGACCGTACCCAATTTCCATGGAACCACATTATATTAGATCCATCTACCATTCTTATCCTAAAACTCAGCAATATTGAAGAAATTGGATCTCTAATAGACCAAACGAGAAATCTGCAGACAACTGATTAGTTCTGTCCATCCAATTAGGCTTTGGTGGATCAAGGCTACAGTTTATCATGTTTAAAGCTGCAGAAGTATGTTCTTGATCATCAGACTGATATGTGGCAAACAATGGACTGCCAAAGTACACTTCATTCTGTTTATTAGCGCTACTCTCTACAATAACATTAAAAGAATAACACCAATAACTCCGAAGCTATCATTCTTTACAAGTGAAAAATACTATCCTATATTTTACCTTCCACTAACATCAAGTGTCCAAACCAAGGATTGACGTACCACCGTATGGGTGATACGTATTAGTTCGACAGAAGACCGAGACGTAGACTGTCCTGGCAAAACAGTTGGAATTTGACCATTACCAACCTGTACCGGTCGGGTAATAATCGGATTTCAACCGATATTGATCAACATCTGAGATTCATCTTGATCCAACGGTCAAATTGACTGTTGGACCACTTTGAAATCTGATTTAAACCCTCTCCCTCCCCTGTTTTGCCCTCTCTCACTCTCACAACTTCCTAGCTCTCTTTCTTACTCTTTATCACACATTTTTTTCACTCTCTTTCTCAATTAAAGCTGATCTTTGGTAATTAGAGCTTCATTTTTGAGGATTAACATATTCTAATAAGTCATTTAGAGGAGGATTACTCAAATTAAAAGGTATGTATTCTCTTTCTACTTAGTTAAATTTTGACATGATTAGCTCCATTATATCTAGTTCATGATGATTAGGGTCAATCACTTTTTTTTAGTGCCCAATTAGGATAAATGGAGCTTGCTAATTGTGTGATTAGTGGCATTAATTTGAATTAGGGTACTTTTAGTTAGCTTTTGATATGATTAGCTCCATATTAGCACCATTATATCAAGTAATTAACGATTAGGGTCAATATCTTACTCTTAGTGCCAAATTAGGGGTAATTAAACATAAATGCAGCTTGTTAAATGTATGATTAGTGGCATTAATTAGAATTTAGGGATCATTAAAGACATTATTATCTACAACCATCATTGGGTGCACTCCTTGACACAAACCATAACATTTATTCAACAATTAACTTATTGTCTATCAATTATTTCCATAGTCATAAAAATTAATTATAAGGTTTTCCAATAAAATATATACATATGATCTGAAAATGAAACGTCTCTATGTACTTTTCAAATAGCAAAAAAGCCCAGCAAATGTTTCAACCAAGATGCCTTCTAAATAGTATATATGATGCCACTGAACCCAAATAGTTCAAATTAATTCAGCACTTGTTAATTTAACAAAGAAAAGAAAAAGAAAGAGAAATGCATCATACCAGTGATTTCAGTGAAGATTGTCCTTCCATTCGTTCATCTTTTGCAAATAGTGTAGATTTCTGCAAAAAGGAAACCAGCAGGGGCAAAGGGGGATGCTTGTCCTTCAGCTCAAAAGCGCAAATAAGATTCACAGCTTCAACATTCATTTCCTTACTTAGCATATCGTTAATAATATCTGCACATGAGACATGCTATTTAACACAATAGATTCTAGTTAAAAATAAAATAAATGTATAGTGCCAAAAAAGAAAAAGACAGTTCTAAGCATCTGCACGCTAAATTGAACATGCAGTAAATCTACATTAAATATATGAAAATGTTTAAAACACAGAAAACTAGTAGTGAAATAGAATGACAAAACTTAGTAACAAGCAAAATACAGCTCATAATATATTCTGAACATATCTAGATATCTAGTGGTGTATGAAGTCGATAAATTCAGACAGAATTAAACAAAATATCACACTACCAGTGCAACGAAGGACCATATCCATGATACCGATCAACATTTCATTTTTTCTGGTGACACTGGACAGTAAAGGTTAGTATATGTGTATCGGCCGAACCAGTTGCCAAAATAAATATATATAAAGAGACAAACCATTGGCAAACATGGTATTTATAATAATAGCGATTAGCTATTGTGACGAAATCGCTGTCAGGATCAAGAGCGGCACTAAGAGGAGGGGTGAATTAGTGCAACGGAAAAATTACGTCGATTTAAAAATCTTCATACGATAAAATTCGATTCCGACGAAAACCATTTCGTTTTTCTTGAATTAGTAGAGAAGAGGGGATTGGACAATTTGTAATGAAGTAAAGATGAATGTAGTAAATAGATTAAGCAGTAAGGAATGAACACACCGAAATTTATAGTGGTTCGGTCGTTGTGACCTACATCCACTTCCGATTACTCCTCTGTCGAGGTCACCGACGTCCACTGATGGTCTTCCTTCAGTAGGCGAAAGACCAACCACCTCTTTACAGTGCTCTCCTTGTCACAAGTTTAGGAGATAACCCTTACTAGCCTCACACCTCTTCTTGGATGATTACAAAGCTTAAAGAGAGGGAAGAGGACTCTTCTCACTTTTACAACACTTTTAACACCCCAACACTTAATAGTTTTTTTTCACACTTTGATTGCACTTTGTTACCCTTTCATGCAAAAAATGGTGGGGTATTTATAGGCCCCAATAGCTTTAAAATTGGAGCCAAAAAGTGTCTCATCCCGGATTTCCGAGGTACTGACGGTACCATCGCCAGTACTGGGCAGTACCACCACTTGACATTCTAATACTAGGCGGTACCATCGCCCAGTCTGACGGTACCACCGCTTGATAGAGTCCCGGATACTGAGCTCTGGCGGTACCACCAGATCTAAAAATGAGAAAACTGTAAGAAGCAAGATCTAAAAATTGAGAGAAAAAGTTTTTGAGGATTACCCTTGTAGTGAATCTCTTGAAAAGTTGAGATTGATCTTTAGATTCGCAGGAGATGAGGGTTTTCTTGAGTTCCTAGACGAAGAGCAAGGGGAATGAGAGGTGGAAAAGGGTTTAGAGGTGCGGGGAAGAGGTCTAGGAAGGCTTGGGGGCATTTCTACCGCCGACCCTAAAAGCCCTTTTATAGGACAGAGCTGTGGGCGGTGGCACCGCCAACTGGGCGGTGCTACCGCTGGTGCACAATTTTCAGCCCATTTTCAAGCTGCAATTTTACCTTTCAAACTCGCAGCTATATTTAGTATTCCAGTCATCACTTTGTGCTCAAGGAAAGTGCAAGCTTCGTAGTATTGAATATAAAATATCTTCATTTAAATTTATTTTGTTACCAATAGTTTTAATTCCAATGATATTTCCTTTATTGTTTTGGCTAGAAAGCTTTATGAAATATTTTGGATCTCCGGTCATAAGCCTTGAGCATCCACTATCAAACTATCATTCTTGCTCCTAGCTTGTGATGGTAAACACTTCTACAAGAAAGGGTGATTTTTAGGCAACCATTTGACCTTGGGTGCCTCATAAATCAATCTACTCAACTTATCATTTTGCATAGAATTCCTTATGGTTCCTTTAGGAACCCAAATCAATTTGTGTGGACTATATCTCTTAAATGGACATTTATAAGCAATATGTCCGGGTTTGCAACAAAAGTTACATTTGGTGCAAGGTGATACACGCAAGGTAGGGCCTTTTATAAAGGTGGTTGGATTTTGGTGAGAGCTACTCACAAATCCGATTCCGCATCTTCTATAAACATGACCCTTATTAGCAAGGATCATATTCAAGGACTTGCTACCAATCTCAAACTTTTCTAAGGTTTCTTTGAGTAGCAAGTTTTCCTTCTCAAGTGCCTCTAAGTGTTCACACTTAGTGCATGGAGGCAAAGAAGGATTATCATGCTTAAATTTTTTAAAATCAACATTTAAAAGGGCATGCTCCTTTTTTAAAGATTTATACTTTTTACTCAAAGTTCTTCATTCATCAAACAATTCATGAAAAGCACTTAAGTGCTCATCGAAAGATAAATTTGCATCTAATGAATTACTTACCTCATCTCTGATAGCCATTAGTGCATGGTTGGCGATCTCCTTATTGCTTTGTTCTTTGCCTTCGGAATCGCACGAGTCATCCGACGTCGTTTTGAGCGTCTTCTTCTTCTTTGGTTGCTTCTTCTTTACTTGGGGACATTCGCTTTTAAAATGTCCCGACTTCTTGCATTCGTAGCATATAACTTGTTCTTTCTTAGGTTCAATTTTGTTTTTAGTGTCATTTTTAGATTTATTTCTTTTTATGATTTTTTTGAACTTTCTTGTCAAGAGTGCCAAGTCATCATCATGGTCCTCATCACTTGAATTTTGTTTCAAGTGGTCTTCATGAGTTATTAGTGCTATATCCTTCCAGTTCTTTATAAGGTTGTTCTCAAGCTCTTCATAAGCATTGCAAGTCATTTCGTAGGTCATCAATGACCCAATAAGTTCTTCGAGAGAAAAGTTGTTCAAATCCTTGGCTTCTTGAATTGTCGTTATTTTAGGATCCCAACTCTTTGGGAGGGATCTTAATATTTTGTTAACAAATTCGAAATTAGAAAAACTTTTACCAAGTCCTTTTAGACCATTGACGACATCCGTAAGCCAGGTGTACATGTCTCCAATGGTCTCACTTGGTTTTATCTGAAACAACTTATAGGTATGGACTAAAAGATTAATTTTGGACTCCTTTACTCTACTAGTGCCCTCGTAAGTGATTTTGAGTGTATGCCAAATATCAAAAATCGTTTTACAAATAGACACTTGATTGAACTCGATTTTATCTAAAGTGCAAAACAAGGCATTCATAGCCTTGGCATTTAAAGCGAAAGTCTTCTTCTTCAACTCATTCCAATTGTTCATTGGAAGAGAAGACTTTTGAAAGTCATTTTCCACAATGTTTCATAAATCAAAGTCTATAGAAATTAAAAAAATCCTCATTCCAGTCTTCCAATAGGTGTAATCCGTCCCATTAAACATGAGTGGACGTGTAATTGAGTGACCCTCTTGGTTGCCGACAAATGTCATCTCTCTTGAGTTTCAAACCAAACCAAGAGTAACCTTGCTCAGATACCAATTGTTAGGATCAAGAGCGGCACTAAGAGGGGGGGTGAATTAGTGCAACAAAAAAATTACGACGATTTGAAAATCTTCGTACGATAAAATTCGATTCCGACGAAAACTATTTCGTTTTTCTTGAATAAGTAGAGAAGAGGGGATTGGACAGTTTGTACTGAAGTAAAGATGAATGCAGTAAAGAGATTAAGCAGTAAGGAATGAACACACCGAAATTTATAGTGGTTTAGTCGTTGTGACCTACATCCACTTCCGATTCCTCCTCCGTCGAGGTCACCGGTGTCCACTAATGGTTTTCCTTCAATAGGCGAAGACCAACCACCTCTTTACAGCGCTCTCTCCTTTTCACGGGTTTAGGAGATAACCCTTACAAGCCTCACACCTCTTCTTGGATGATTACAAAGCTTAAAGAGAGGGAGGAGGACTCTTCTCACTTTTACAACACTTTTAACACCCCAACACTTAAAGAGTTTTTAATCACACTTTAATTGCACTTTGTTATCCTTTCATGCAGAAAAGGGTGGGGTATTTATAAGCCCCAATGGCTTCGAAAATTGGAGCCAAAAAGTGTCCCATCCCAGGTTTTCGGGTACTGGCGATGGTACTTTTAACCAAGGTATGCAATACTGTACCGTACTGGTGTTTCGAGGTTGGCTCGGTACGGTACCAGCGTACCGAGTGATACACCAGGGCGCACCGAACGGTACACCAGGATTGACCGAGCGATTTCCACTTACTGCAGCACTGTAGCGCTGTGGCACTGCTACAGTGTATTACTGTAGCACTGTAGCACGGTCCGTCTGGTAGCGGGCGGTCCGCGTACCGGTATACCGTCGGACCGGTACATACCACTCGTACCGGTGATTCTTTCAGCAAGGCAGAGGTAGAGCAAGTGAAGGTGATTCTTTCAGTGATACCGATCTTTGCATGCACCATCATCTTCAACACGGTCCTCGCTTAGCTGCAGACCTTCTCAGTAGAACAAGGAAGCTCCATGAACACTCGGCTTGCAGACTCCTTCAGAGTCCCACCTGCATCACTCCAAGCCATCCCCTACATTGTGCTCGTCATACTGGTTCCCATCTACGAAACCAGCTTCGTCCCTCTTGCCCAAAAGCTCACCAGAGAGGACTCGGGGATCACTCCGCTGCAGCGAATCGACGTCGGCCTCTTCACAGCGACCTTCTCGATGGTGGCAACCGCCATGATCGAGAAGGAGAGAAGAGAGATGGCTGTTGGGTCGGGCAAGCTAATGTCCATCTTCTGGATTGCTCCCCAGTTCCTCATCTTTGGCCTCTCGGAGATGTTTACAACTGTGGGGCTCATTGAGTTCTTCTACAAGCAATCATTGGGCGGCATGCAGTCCTTCTTGATAGCCATGACCTACTGCTCTTACTCCTTTGGCTTCTTCTTGAGCTCCCTGCTGGTGTCATTGGTGAACAAGATCACATCAAGCTCATCAAATGGCGGATGGCTGGGCGACAATGACCTCAACAAGGACAGGTTGGATCTCTTCTACTGGCTGTTGGCAGCTCTCAGCCTCCTCAACTTCCTCAATTATCTTTTCTGGGCCAAAT